CGTAATCCCTGCACTGCAATGTGATCACTGCCATGCACAGTACTGGTAATGGTGCTTAAAGTAGGATTTCTAAAGGCAATATATCTTTAAATGTCGGTTTGTGGCCAGGGCTTGGCTGTGCCAGTTACTAGGTTTCTAATCAGGGCCCTATATGGGCAGCATACTGCTCTTTATTCATTCTGCATTCTACACATATAGACATCTCCAATGGAAAGAAATACTAAATATGGTGCATTCGTCAGAACGTTTTATTGCTTTCTGTGGTAGCTGGGCCACTTTTTTTTTTTTGTAAATAATTTTGTTGTGACGTTAATCATACATCAGAAGGTTGATCTATAAGACTTATTTTTTAAGTTTTAAGTAAGCACCTCTTGCACAGGCAATAACAAACCGTAAAGAATATGCATTAAGCAGAATTGTGCTAGCCGTGAGACGTATGCCAAAAGTTAGCAAAAAATAAATAGTGCTCATTGAGAACACAGGAATAAACGCTCTAAGCTGTGCTTCAGGTTTAAGTGACCTGGCCCCAGTGCCAGCAATATGAAGAATCTTATATTTAGGTGGGGGGAGAAATAGCATAAGCTGGACAGTAGGCTAATTTAAAGGCGACCAACAGATCAACTGGTGTGACAACCTACGAGGTGACAACTGCAGAAGCAGAATGGGAGCCCATTTGTCACCTTAGATACGGATATCTCTGAAACATGGGTGAGGGAAGGGTTTGTGTATCTCGGACGTTGTGTCCACGGACGCTGCCACTATAGTGAGGGTGCCCTAGAGGGTAATGCTAAAACCATCTGTTGTGCCTTAGACCTTGCAGTTAAACAAAAGAGAAATAAAAGCGGAGCGAATGGAAACCTATATTCAGCGACCAGTTAAATCTTGGATATGGGAAGACTTGGTGTATTCCGGGCATGGGGCTTTGGTAACTGTTGTGGCCACTTATGCAGCTCCCAGCGTGCGGAATCCCGGTAAGGTTGCTTATAAGCCTACAACTTAGCGTACAAGTATGTAAAATATAATGAAAAGCATTGTGAAAGGAAACTTAAAACAAACAACCTCTATTGAGAGTGTGCAGCAGTAGCACAACACAGAGAGAGTAAAATCTGCATCAGCATGCCATAGAGAAACAATTCTTCTGACTCAGTCGGTAGGGCCTACAGCGGAAGTAGAGGGACCACCAGTTTAAACGGGGTGATATTATCCACACCCCACTTATGACTCTGCTGCCTCTTCCATGGGTTAGCTGTTTGTGTTGGTATGCCCAGTGTGATTAGAAAGTCCTGGCCATCTGCCAGAGAATAAAGCTTGTGGACTGCCCCATTATTGACAATGTGGAAGGAGCATGGTACGCCCCGACCATAGGGAACATTTTTGTCCTGGAGGAATCAAGTAACCCAGCGCTGGGATTATCTCCATAGCATGATGGACATAGACAGGTCGGAGTTTTATGGGCCCTTATAAGGGGGCTCTCTAACACTCTGGCCACCATTCACAATATAGTAATATAAATTAGCTCTCTGATACCCAGCCCAAGTTGGCTCTTCTCACCTTGCTTGCTGTGGCTGGCAGGCTGGCCTTTTTCTTCCCCCAACCCTTTTGTGCATCTGTTTCTCCACCAACTCCACTGTGTGTCTCTTTTTTTATCTTCCTCTGTGTGTGTCTTTTTTCCCCTTCACCTCTCTGTGTCTTTGCCCCCAGCCCTTCTGTGTGTGTCTCCCAGCCCCTTTGTGTTCTATTTCTTTCCCCAGCCCATTTGTGTATCTCTTTCTCCCCCAACCCCTGTGTGTGTCTGTTTTACCCTTCCTCTGTGTGTCTACCCCCTCCCCCCCGTCCTTCCGTGTGCCTCTTTGTCCACCCTCGGCCACTCTGTATGTCTTTGTGCCCCCAGCCCCTCTGTTTGTCTTTGTCCCCCCAGCCCCTCTGTGTGTCTCTTTGTGCCCCTCCATGTGTCTCATTTTCCCCCAGCACCTCCATCTGTCTCATTATGAAGCCAGGCTTGTCAAAGACCCTGAGGTTGGGTTGAAAAGATGCTGGTTCCACAGAGGTGGAATAAATTGCTTTGTTATTTACATTGTTGTTGTAGCTCCTTATTGTGTTTTTATACTGTTTATGAGGTAATTGGAGATTTGCACCCAGATTTCGAGTGGAGTGCTGGCCCTCCTTATCTGTTTTGTGTGAGCACTTCCCGTCAGACCTGGTAGAGAAATAAAAGCTCAAGCGCAGGGCTCCATTCTGTGACAGTCTTGCCCAGCTTTAAGGTCCAAGGAATTCTTTTCTGGGACCTAGATTCGTATTTCCTTCCGCAGGATTGATAGGTCAACCTGGAATAGAGTTCAAATGTCCCGCAGGAGTGCTTTAATGTTGCTCTTGATAGCTAGAGTATTGGTTTCCTCATCTGGGGACTCCGGGTGCATCTGTCTCGGGGATGTCATCTAGTGCATCCACGTAGGATTCCTTCACGGATGACGAGTGATCCTACGCGTGTTTCACCACAATGTTGAAGTTTTGTCCCCGTTAGGCCTCTTTGCACGAGGTCCCTGATATTTTAAGATATGGCGCCTAAAAAAATAATTAATTTTTTTATTTTTTTATGGCACACTTCCCCTTAAAGGTAATGTCAGGAAAACATGCTTTTCTGACGGTATATCATTCCTGTAGCCAGGTACAGTCAGCTTGTCAGTACGGAGCCTTAGTGTGGCACATCTGCTCATTTCACTAGTGAGCTCCACCTCCAGCTGGGCCTTTTTTATGCTTTGTACTACATTCATATGGAGATATATATGGAGATTTTGCTTGTTAGGTAGTGCATAACCTAACGTAGCATGATTTTACCTCAAATTAATATTTAAAAAAATAAATATTTCTATTGCAGAGTCCTAAACAAAGTCCTTGTTAAAATACGGAAAGTGCTACACATTAAGCTGACACACACAACAAATACTTAACACTTGGATGCGAACAGTGGTCATAATCACGTGATGATCACAATGCAAAATAGAGCAAACATACAAAGTTAGAACAGAATCTCTTAGATGGTCTCAGATATGGAAATTTGGCCAGCTTTCTAGAACATCATCAAGATAATAATGTCATTGTTGAACTGTTACACTCCAGGCTATATGGACATTGAAGAAAAATATACACAACAAAGGGTTCTTACATTTGCACTAGATCCCCAGGATTTTTGTAGCTTATGTAGTTTTGCCCAAACTGGAAACTAGCAAATTATAGTTTTCCTATTTCTTTCAATACAAGATAAGCATATCCCACAATCCCCAAAGTATTCCCTGAGGGCTTAGTAGGTTATTTCTTACAGTTGCAGGAGAGGAGTCATGGGGAGGGGCGGTGGGATGAAAACCGGCTAACAGTTTAATTAATGCACTTTCATGAAGAAGTGAGTTTTCAAAGATTTTTTTAAGGAATGGAGACTGGATGAAAGTCTAATGGAGAAGGGAGTTACACAGGAAAGGTGCAGACCTGGAGAAGTCTTGAAGGCGAGCATCAGAGGTGGGAATACGGACAGAGGATAAACGTAGGTCTAAAGTAAAGCACCGGGGCCTCAATGGGACGTACGTTTGTATTAGGGAGGATAGGTAGGTTGGAGCAGCATTATGTAGGGACTTGTAAGCAAGTACTAGAATCTTAAATTGAGCCCTATATCAGAGAGCCAATGTAGGGACTGACAAAGGGGGAGGCGGGGATGTGCAGGCAGACAAGAAAATGAGCCTCGCCGCCGCATTCATTATAGATTGCAGTGGTGCAAGCTGGGAACATGTATGACCAGTGAGAAGGGGGTCGCCGTAGTTAAGGCGAGAGAGAACAATGGCATGGACCAACACCTTTGCCGCATGCGGTTTTAAATAGGGGCGGATGTAAGGTATGTTTTTGAGATGGGAGCGGCAGGATTTGGCGATTAATTGGACATGCGAACCTGCGAGGTAGAGGTGATGGTGGCGCTGTTGACTTGGAGGAAGACAGACACTGGAGTAGCAACACTTGAGGGAGGAAAAAACAGAAGTTCTGTTTTGGACAGGTTGAGTTTAAGGAAGTGAGCATCCATCCAGTTGGAAATCGTAGAGAGGCAGTCAGAGACAAGAATCAAAATGGGTGGAGAGAGATCTGGAGAGGACAGCTAGATTTGCGTTTAATATGCATAAAAATGATAATGGAAGCTGAAGGAGCAGATGAGTTTACCAAGGGAGGCAGTATAGTTAGAGAACAGTAGGGGACCAAGGACAGAACCTTGGGGAACACAAACAGAGAGGGGTTGGGGAGAAGAGGCAGATCCAGAGAAAGAAACACTGAAAAAGCGCTGGGTGAGGTCAGAGGAGCATGAGGAGAGAGCAGTATCCCATAGACCAAGATTACAGAGACTGAGAAGAAGCTGTTGATAAGCAACAGTGTCAAAGGCAGCAGAAAGATCACGAAGAATTAGAATAGAGATGACTGATCCCCAACTTGAGATCCAGACCCAAACCCTAACAATTACTCAGTCCATGTGGGAAGCAGATAACAAAATTTAAAATTCTCTGTGACAGGATGAAGGGATTGTTACTTATGTATTTAAAAAAAAAAAAAAAACTCCAGCAGAACTATTAACTAACCCTAGCATGGTGACATATGACACTTTTGTCTTCTGAGATTTTCAGAATGATTGTTTCCAGAAATTCCAACACAGAAAGATCTAGGAACTACACTTTGGATTTTGGCAGAGGGCAGGAAATTGCTCATTTAATGCCAGTGTAGCCAAGCTGCGTAGACCACATTCTGACACATTACCACAAACAAAATGTATCTTAATTAAACTATCTCATATCAAAGCATTTCTAATCAGAGAGATAGTTGCTCAAAGTAGAGTAGTAGTGGTGGCCTCCAAAATCTCTGACGGAATGACACCTGATTCCTTGGCAGAATGTAAAAGTTTGGACGAATAAAGAAGAAAAGTCTCTAAAAAAAACAAATCAAAAAAACCCACAAAAATAATAGTTGGAAAACCCATTCGGTCCCAGGGCTTTGTATTTGGGAAATAGCATAATAATTTTGCATATCTCATCTTTGGTGTAGGAGCTGTAAGAGCTATTTTTTGATCTCCATGAAGCTTAGGTAAATGCATATCTTTAAAGAAGACAATATTCTGAGGGTTGAGGAGTGCAAGAGTCATTGTGGAAGATCGTACAGGGTTTTACTGGTGCATATTTGTACAGCTTTTATCTCGGTCATAACTCAAGCATGGAAGTCAACTAACCCTCCGGTGTGATAGATCGATTCAACACAACCAAATGTTATGAAATGTCATATAGAATCATGGGAAACCTTGATTTATTTCACCCCATACATGGTATGCGGAGCTGACATAACCCCTCAATCCTCATGCTAACTTTTTATCCCGCTATCTGGTCACTGTATTTCCTCAGAATTCCCTTTTCTTATTGTCTCTCCATTCCTTCTCTTGTATCATTTTTCTTTATTTCATGTTCTTCTTTACAACTCCTGTATAATGAGCGTCAAATCTGCACATGGTATTTAATATTGTCTATCAATATGTTGTTTATGAATTGAACTTTCCTTGGTTATTTTTGCTTTGTACATTACAAACACAATAAAATTGATATGGGGAAAAAAGTGGAAAAATGACAAAAGCATTTTATATTACTAACGACTAAGATTTTAATATTTTTGAGCATGTTTTTAAATTAATAAGTTTGGATAAACAATTATTTGATATAATGAAACAGTTTTAAATATTTGATTTTGTTAAAATATATTTTTTTCATGTATGATAGTTTTTTATACTTGAATATTTTTAAAATATTAATGTTAATGTTTGTCCACAAATATTAAATCATTTGAAAAACGTATCCAAAAATATTATATCGAAGTTTCATTACAGGTATCTACTGCATAGCCTCAGTAACTGTACGTTGACACCTATTGGCTCTCCTTTTCCCAATATACCCCTAGCTAATCTACACGGCCAGCGGGGCTTATTTTACATACAACTCGCAGGGCTCGACGAATCCCAGGTGTCAGATCACCACGGCGACTAGAAATTTCGCCCTAACGTCTGGGATTTGCCAGCTCTCTAGTTAGTGTGAGAGCGAGCCTGTCAGAGTGTCTGTGTGTGTGAGAGCCGGTCAAGAGTGTGTGTGAGCGCCTGTCAGAGTGTGTGCGTGCAAGCCTGTTGTGCACATGAGTGTGTGTGTATGTGTGAGAGCCAGTTAGTGTGTGTGCGTTTAGGTACCTGCCCCCTCCGATCGCATGAGGAAGGTGTTTTTTACTCACCTTTCTTCCCATTTTCCCAAGCTGTGCCAGTTTTACCATGGCTGAGATGATCGATCTTTATGATCTCAGCTAAGGCAATGCTTTCCTTTAGGAAAGCATTGGGAGGATTTTGTGCATGCGCAGCAAACGTACCAATCCGCATCTCCTCATAGAAATGCATTACATTAACAGATCTCTATGGGGAAGATTCAGCGCCTCCATGCAGAGCTTGGAGACACTGAACCTGGGTGCTGCACATGGTGCAGCAGTGACCCAGGACTCTCTAGTGACCGTCTGAGAGACTGTCATTAGAGGTGTTAGTAAGCAGCAATGTAAACTCTGCCTTTTCGCGGAAAAGGCAGTGTTTACACTGAAACGCCTGCAGGGACAGGCTATAGACACCAGAACAACTACATCAAGCTGTAGTGGTTCTGGTGACTATAGTGTCCCTTTAAGAATTGCACTTTCTCGTTGAAAATGACTGGCTCCTAACTTTTTTAGCTGGCTCCTATATTCCAAACAAATTTGTCAAGCCCTGACTTATGGGAATCCTTGAATACCCAAAGCGAGTTTTATAGACAGAACTTGATGTAATCCTGCTTGATACATCTCACCTCGCCACATAAGGCTAGCTCAGATTGCAAGCTCTTTTAAAAGCCAGTTGATAATATTTAAGGTACATTTATCTTTTTTTTTTTTTTTTTTTAAGTCAACATTTAAATCTAGCATTTATTACTTTTTTAATATACATTTTATTCTGTTTGTATATTTACAAGGTTATTTCAATGTGAATTTTTGATTTAAGGCCAGCATTTCCAAACTGAAAGCGTAGACCTTCGAGAATTTTATTTCTTTCGGGTATTTTGACGTTAAATTTGATATTCTCTTTAAAGGAACACTCGAGTGTCAGGAATACAAACATGTATTCCTGACAGTTTAGGTCTAAATGCCGGGTTTAGGCTTCCGGCCCCCTGTCAGTACAGTAAAATGTGTGTTTGCTCACTTTTTTTTCCAGCACTGTGCTAGTCTCTATGCGGCTGGCCCTGACCCCTCTCTGCCTCCATGGCTGAGATCATCAAAATTGACCATCTCAGCTAAACAAATGCTTTCTCATTGGAAACGTATTGAATCAATGCATCTCTATAAGGAGCGCTCAGTGCCTCCATGCAAAACACTGTGCAGTACTTACCTAGGAAGCACCTATAGTGGCCGTCTGAGTGACTGCTACTAGAGGTGTTACTAGGTAGCAATGTTAACACTGACTTTTCTCTGAAAACGCAGTGATTACATTAAATACCCTGCAGGGACAGGCTATAGACTCCAGAACAACTACATTAACTTTTAAATTCTCACTTTAGTGAGTAACATAATTTCATTGTGATGCCACTGTGGTCTATTAAAAAGGTGCACACAGGGAAACATTTCAGTATACTTATGGGCAAACAAAATAATGTCCGTGCACTTTGGTGAGTTTGTTGAGGGTTCTGGGTAATGAAAGGAATTTGGGGAAAAATAAGTTGATTTGCATTATCAGTCTAGCCTTACATATCGACCAGTTCTTTGGCAGAGGTAAATGGGTATTATAAAGACTTCTGCTTGCATCAGACGGTTTCACTATGAAACATAAAAAAATCAATCTCAAGTCTTGCCTGAAGAGCAAGCAATCTTTTCTCTCCCATCCCCCTTTCCTTCTACTCATGCAAATAGTGAGAACAAGGAGAAACTTTAAGTCAGTGACATAATCCTGAAAAGTGGCGTTTGACACGTTTAATGTACTAAAAATCTACTTTTTTTTTTTTTTTCAGTAAATGGAGCCTTGAAGATCAAAGGTCACTTTGTTAGATATCATGTTAATCCCAGTGTGTACCTGAGCATGCCATCCCAGTAGGTTTTTAAAGATGGACAGAAACTACACCAAAAAGCCTTTAATTCATGTTTAAACATGCCCTCTGTGCTGTCCTGACTCATACGTGCCGAAAAGCAGGAATTTATTTGTAATGGCTCAGCTGAGGGGGGCGAGCCTGGAATGCAGAGCTGGCTGAACAATTTGTTCTCAGTGATTCCTTCCTCTGGCTGATTCAATGTTATGTAAACCGTCTCTCATTTGGCCCCAGTCCAGAATTATGTAACCAGTATATCCCTCCTCCCTATGGACAGAATTGATTTCCGCCCCATTAAAACTTCTGTTGGAGAGTAGCTTCCTTTGAAGCCAGAGGGGAGGTCTAAACTCGGGCCATGTATCAAATTTGGACTACATTACCCATAATTCTATTGACACACCGCTTCCTTTAAAATGGCTGAAATATCTTTTCTCACAAGTTGTTCCTCTACTGTATGCTATCTCATAATTCTCTGCTATCTGACCCATTCCAGAGGATTATAGAAAATGTAAATTAAGATTCTCTTAAGGGCCACCAGTTCCTTAGAACTATTGCAGCTCCTGAAGTTACAGTACCATCATCCTCAGTCTTTAAAGTTAGATCTGAGTTTTTCTAACAGTAAGAACAGCACTTAGTACCCAAATATCAACCTTCCAATCGAGTACTCCAATATCTTTCTACCAATGAGCATCCTGATATTCTGCCACCCATGGCACAGCTGTCCCCCTCCCGCATGGAGTCTTTTTCATGCATTAAGCTATACCTGTACATCAAACATGCCAAACTTAAAGGCCAACACGGGCCAAATAAACGTAGGTTTAATTTATGTGGGCCGCACAAAAACTTCAGTTTTCCTAGAAACGTAGGTTTATTTTTGAAAAGTACAGTATAAAAAAGTCACCAGACGCTGGATGTCCTCACGCTGTGCATAAGGACATCCAGTGTCTGCTAAATCCCCATAGAAAAGCATTGATACAATGCTTTCCTATTGGGAATCCTAATGCGAGCGCATTAGTTCTCAGAGCCTGACCCAGTGCCAAGGGACATCGACGCTGGAATCAGGTAAGTGACTGAAAGCGGGGATGGCACTAGAGAGAACTATAGAGCCAGGAGAAAGGCTTTACATTCCTGGTACTGTAGTATCCCTTTAAAATTGAAAACTAAACACTATCACTCTAACGTGAAGTAAAGCACTCGTAGGACATCAAAGTAAACAAAAGAGCAAATTTGTTTGAGACATGCATTTGCATATAACCAATGTTTCAGTCCAACTACCTTGACATATTAAGAAACACTGCACCCCAAACTAATACACTGCACCCCAAACTTATATATTGCCCCCCCAATATAATACACAGCCTCCCACATTCTAATACACAGCCTCCCACTGCCCCCCTCCACTCTAATATACTGCTCTTTTCCTCCAATCTAATACACTAACCCCCTCCATTCTATTATACAGTCTCCATGATCGAATACACTGCCCCCCCAATCTAATACACCCGCGGCCCGGACCTCCACTAATACACTGCCCACCTCCATCCTTCCCCTCTAATACACTGCCCCTTTACTCCAATCTAATACACTAACCCCATCCATTCTATTATACAGTCTCCACGATCAAATACACTGCCCCCCCAATCTAATACACCCGCGGCCCAGACCTCCACTAATACACTGCCCACCTCCATCCTTCCCCTCTAATACACTGCCCCCACTCCCACCACTGGAATTTAAAACACTTCCCTCCCTCCCCCTAATTGAATACACTGCCCATCTCCCTCCCCCAATTAAATATATTGCCCTCCCTCCACTCTTATATACTGCCCTTTAATCTAATACATTGCCCCCACTCTTACCACTCTAATTGAATACACTGCCCTCCCCCCAATTGACTACACTGCCCTCCCCCCAATTGAATACACTGCCCTCCCCAAATGAATAAACTCATCTATTTACAATGAAATCCATAAGACAAGCTATTACCGTGGAAACCTTTGCAATGTTTCTGCTGATTGAGTCATGTTTCGATCTTTACCCCAGAATTGTTCTTAACACATAAACCCCAATGTCT